TGTGCTTGTGGTTTTTTTCTTTAAATGCAGAGCAAGGTGGGGTAACAAAGAAAATACTCTCAGCTTTATAACGACCTTTAGATTTTGCAGGCAAAACAGTTACTTTATATTTGCATGAAAATGACAGATCCTTCAGAATCATGTAGTTTTCCTAAAAGAAAAACAAGAAGATCACATGCTGCAAACAGACCTCTAGAAAAAAAAAATAGAAATTGAAAAATTAGGTTGGCAGAAGATGAAAAGTTTTGTCCAATAAAATATTGTCCTGATATGCTTAACACATGCCAACATGGCTTTTACTCAGAGAACAAAGCAAACATTGCCTATGTTATGATTATTTTCAGTAGCAAAATATATTAGCATGGTATTTGGATATGTCCTTCAATTCTACAGAGTTCCTTCACCACTTGCATCAAAGCAACTGGCTTCTAACATTTAGAACAGTCTCCCTGACATGATGGCAATGGGGGTAGCAATGTGAGGATGTAAATACTAATCAAATTAAATAAATGTAAGAAAGCTGAGTTAAACTGCTGTAAATGACTGGCTTCATCTACATTTAACTTTTTAAAAGCACATTCAAAGTACAGCATGGCATTATGGATCTATTTTTTCAGCTTTAGTACATTAACTACTTCTACTTTCTTATCAGGAAGAAAAGCTCCACAGCTGAACTACAAAGCACAATTCTCTGTTTAAAGACAATGATTGGAGAAGAAAACTTTACACAAAGTCTAAGTGTCCTGCTAAATTCTTACTGTTGTCAAAAGTACTTTTGAAAATCACAGCCTGAAAGCTTTTAGCACAAATCATATATGAGAAAAGAATGTTCGGGGTTTTTTTTTTCTGGGAAAATATCCAATCATACCTTACTGGCTAAGGTCAAAAGTCTTTCACTGCCTTTTAGATGTTTACTTCCCTTATGAATCAATAATTTCCAGCGTTCTTCTGCTTAACTCCCTCTTTTTCCTAATCCCAAACTGGATTAGTCTTCCAACCTTCACTTGGAAGGTCATTTTCGACGGGACATAGAGATCGGGCTGAGAATGGACTTGACTCCCCGCCTTCCGCCTGCCAGGAGAGTGCTCTAATAGGCTTGACTTCTGCTTAAAATTGTGACAGGACTATTTTTATTTATTGTGACAGGGCCTAAATGCTCAACACTGGAAACGTAAGGCCTTTATCTACCTTGACCTATCATATTCAGTACCAAACCTTTTGTAGCATCAACCTTCTTCTGTTTGCTTGTAATTATTTTCTTCCTCAAAAGAAACACAGAGTTTCCCAAAGTAGATTGGACCAATTACTGTAAGATGATTGAGAGGAAATAAATGAACTAATACCACAATGCATTTGGGCAGATGTACAAAGAGTCGTTCCTGACCTCTAGTGGAAATAAACTTCTTAAATGTTAACTTTCTCCTATCTTCAGTGTGCATAACTTGAAATATTGGGACTGATCATAACATTATGTCACAATCATTTTTTTAATCGATCTCTAATATTTGCTTTGCTAACCCCATGAAGCAGTAAATCTTACAAGCTAACAGCCTTCTGTATGAGAAATTATGTCTTTTGATTTACTCTACTTTTATGTGCCATTAACTCCACTGAATTGATCCAGTAGTACAGGTCAGGGCAAGAAGGAAAGGAGAATTGTGATTTCTTCCATTCTCCATAATCCACTAAATCAATTGTAATGTACCAATCGCATTACTGTGTTGTTCAAATAATGTGTTACAGAGATGGATGACACCAGATTGCAAACAAATTGAGTGCAAAGAACTGCCACTGCGATATATATTTGGGCTGACATGTACTTACATAGAGCTTTTTTCCTTATCTGATATCTATCTGACTTCCAGATTTAATGTTGAGTATTTTTCACCTACGGTCCCTTTTTCTTATTCTATTATTCTCCTCAGGGTTGTGAAACCCACCTGCATGTCTACAAGAAAACCTAATTTATTAATTACTACTATTACTGTTCAGTATTTGCATGGTGCTAGAGTCCTACAGTACTAATTGTAGATAAAGCTTCATGCTCTATATGCTGTAGAAATATATAAGTACTTAGCTAAGAAGTTTGTTTGCCTGCTCTTGTTTTCTGAATAACACTGACAAAAAAAAAAAAAAAAAAAGATTTTAGCCCAGTGTGGATTTAAAAAAAAAAAACAAAAACCACCAAACGAAACAGTCCAGATGCATAATTTTTATCTTTTGCCAAAGAGGAACATAAAAAAGAAACATTCTTATTATCTATGAAACATGCTATAAAGCATACTGTGTTATGTTACAGAACCATCCTTTCTCTTGCTGCTTAGAAGCTATTCAGAGCCAAGCAGAAGGCTGAACGGAGACTTACGTAAGTCAGCTCAGTTACTTTCCCAAGTCCTTTGGTGTCATTGTGTGCACAGGACTCCAGTAACCAGTGGACTTGGAATTGATTCATGCTGATATCTAAATGGTATAACAAGAGAGGAAAAGACATTTATAATTATACTTTCACCATTGCAACTTTTCTGGCTTCTCTGGATAAAAATAGAAGGAGTTTTAAGTATTGCAGAGCTGGTAGTTCCTCGGTTGTTCCTAAGCATCCTTCAACAGAGTGGAGAAAATATTATACACTTACATAATTTAAACCTTATATCAGCTAATGGAGATAACTTTAAAAATAGTGAATTGGCATTTTCAGATATGTAAGCATATACTGCTTACATCTTTTAAAAAATCAAGCATTTAATTTGTGCATTAAAAAAAAATCTCAATGCTGCTACTTCTGAACATCCTGCAAATGATGGAAATGACTTTGTGTCAACTGCCTGTGACTGTTTATATTGTCAGAGCATTGCAATACTGCTGCCTGGCACTGCTTGAGAAACCTGTGCCTGAAGACATGTGAAAATGACTGTAAATGCCTGAGCTTTCTCCTTTCAGAATCTATCATAAGACCTGTTCAGTATCTGTGCAAATAAAATTCTAGTCTTGACTCTTAGGAGTAATACCAAAGGCTTGAGTTTGCTCCCATTTAAATCGATGACAAAACTTCCTGCAGTATCAATAGTATAAGCTTTCAACCATTTTCCAGTTCTTCTAGCTTCCTGTCTAATAGCGATTGCATAAGGAAGCAAAACAAGGGGAATAAAGAATTAAACAAAAGAAGAAAAGCTCATCAGGTAGTGCACATACATCCTGTCACTTTTCTGGATTTAGTTCTCCTCTACCTTTATAGAGGGGGTGCAATATTATGTCTGTTGTTATTATTAATTAGCTTGGTATGACATAGCCACTAATGCCAAGTGCCTGATTGTGGGTTTCAGGAAGGAAAACAAATATCTTTGATGCCTTAAGGGCTGATCTGGCATTAGACTGCTATGAGCAATTTGGATGCAGAAGGGAAGGATTATAAACTAAAGAAAAAATAAGTAGTGTCTGAAACTAGCTCAAATGGTATTCTGGTAAAAAAAAAAACAATTAGAAGCACCTTGAAATAGATTTTTGCAGCAGCTATCTTCATAACACCACATATGCTAATTATTTGTGTGGTTTCTTTCGAAACCCAACATTATTTTTTTCAAAAAGAAATCTACAAAGAAATAACTTGCTGCCTTATGATCATTCCCTCTCCTTTAAAAATAAATAAATAAATACACGTGCTTTCACTTGCCTCTTAGTTGCTGGGCTTTCCCACTTGAAGTGCCTATTGGATGAAGACACAAACTCACAATGCATTTGTAAGTAGGTTTCATCTGATTTCATCTCTTCCAGTTCACTCAATTATTGCCTATCACCTGCTTGCACCCCTCTCCTGGGAGAAACAAACAAAACACCTAGCTTCTTGGGACCTGAAAACTTTGTGCTGCTATATTAATGATGTACACTCTGTGCCAATTAACCACAGTGAATCTGTTATTGACTGTATATTATCTGATAATCACAACTTATTATTTGAAACTCTCTGCATGTAAGGTGGATTGCTCTTTGTAAAGCTACAGATTGGCTATTTTCACTTATAATAACTTCCACTTGCAATCCATGCATAAATTGCTCTCTCTTTGGTAGAGATTATCCAAGCCAATTAGGCCTTGCCATTATCCAGCCATCAAGAACTGGACAAGACACATACCTCAGGTAGGTCACTGAATATCACTACATGGGCAACTGGGGAAAGATAAATCCCAAGCATGAAGAGCTTACAACAGCTCAGCATCCAGATACACCAGTGTAGAGGTTTACTAAGCCTCTGTTCAGAAATGTAATTAAAGAGGTTGTAACCCAAGGTATTTGGTATTTCCAGCTCCTGGCACAGTAGAATTCTGTTTAGATTTTATTGCAGCTCCACCTCCATTCCTTATGTGAGCTTCTGCTCTCAGGCAGTTCTTTTCTTCCTTCCTACTTCTCCTCTCCTGCATTAGCAAACCCTTAGTAACCCATTTGTAAACAGCTGTGGTTTCTGATAACCTATCTATCTGAGCTAGAAAATCAGGAAGATGTTAAAAAAAATTGTTATTTCACTTCCTATCAACTTGGACTGTAAGCATAGGATGAAGGTTTTTAATAAACATAATTTCATTTTTTTTATTGAAACAAAATGAACAAATGAATCTTGTATTTGATAGTTCCTACATCCTGATAACAACCTATATTGAAAAGACAGGATTTTCTTTCTTTTCAGTATGCAATTAAAGTTATTTCAAAAAGTTTTTGCATACATATATAAAAGTACATCAACTGCTATAAACTGGAATGCATCAGGACAGCACCAGCTAAGTTTATCCAAAACTTTTCATTAAAACAGGCCTTTTTGACTTCCCTAAACTTTTATTTTCAAGACTAAAACTTCAGTTCTCATCTCCACCTTTGTGATTGCTGTTATATAAAAGATTTGAACATAAGCACGTTAATTGATTTTTTTTAAAAAGAAGAATGTAAAAACAATTGACAACAATAAAAACAATTTTCTCCTTTTAAAAAAATCTATCCTGTCAGGGTCTAAAGCCTGAGTAATTTTGATTGCAAAACTGAAATATAATAGGGAAGTAGCTCCTACTTGAGACAGAAACTTTTTTAAAAATAGGGAAAGGTGGGACATTTTGTGATTAAATAAAGCTAGAAGCATGAAAACCTCAAAGTGTATGTGTATGCATATTAAATAACAAGGCTGGTTTAGAAATTATCTTTAAATTTTTTAAAAGCAAAAGGAGACAAGATGTATGGAATGATCTAAAAAGCCACATAAGAGGCTTCAAAAAAATGATGAAGACATGCATTTGTTTTATAAAGTTACTCATAAAGCTTATGGCTCTAGAGTTTCGTTTTTATGCAACATTATACATCTGATTTTGCGTTTACAGCACGTGCAAAAGAAAAGCTTCTCCCCGCCTTCTTTCAGCAATATACATTCTCCTCGTGAGATCACTACTATAATTTTATTTAGATTTTTGTTTTCAGCTGTCCATTACAAACTCAGTGGTAGGTACTGGACAAGTGATGCAAGTTGCAGTCTAGCTGAATGTCAGCCACTACCGCCAAAGCTAATGGTTCTGAATTAAGCCCAGCTGAAGTTAATACATCGTAACCCACAGCCACATCTTTGTCTGAAAAGTCATTTGAGTAGTTAATATTAACAGAATATCCAGTATCTAATGGGACTGATTTGGGCCATTTTTATCAGAAAGCTCTGCTATCCCTTCTAGAATAGGTACATAACACTGAAAAGAAACTGCCGGACTCCTTCAATCTGGCCCCCTGATATTTCAGATGTCATATTATAAAGCCTTTTTTGTATATAATCAATCTCCTTCATAATAGTTTGGAGTTTTCTTGATCCTGTACTTTGAATTATGTCTTTATAAAGCTTTATAACGTCATTGTTCTCATGGTTAGAAAGTGTACCATTTAACACTAAAAAGACTGACGCTTGTACAAACAGCAAGCATTCATCTTTCCCAGAACTCAAAATATTTGTGTAGAAACACTGAACTGGAAGGACATACTAAGTGCTAGCACTCGTTCGAGCAGCTCTGAGCTTGTGAAATTAGTCAACATAATAATCAGTTAGGTAAGAACTTCTTAAAGGACTGTTACAGCAGACAGCTTATTCAAACAATTACTTTTATTCTAAGTTTCATTAAAAAGGAAAAAAAAAAAAGCAAACCAGAAAAATTACATTTAAAAATCCCTGTAGTTACTGTCATGGACATGACCTTCAGCTGCTCAAGCTAAAGATTTCTTGATGTTTCAGACAGTTGCACAAAACTAATCCTCCCAAATAAACTAATAGCTAGTGGTAATTATTTTGGCTACGATTTTTAAAGTAAATTTTCTGAAGTATAAAATGAGTTCCTAGCCTTAAGAAAACATTCCTATACAGACATCACATGAGCATGTTCTTAAAATTCCACATACGCTTAGCTGTTTTACTGAACAAGGGTATGCAGCCAACTTTGTTGGACAGAAATCTTAAATCTCTAACTCGAAATGTATTGATCAGGGGATGCTCTAAAGCACGTTGAAAAGATGTCTGTTTTGATTCCCTCCCTCCTATGTCTCACCCAAAAAAGGCTTTAACTCCACATGAGTATCTCCACAAAGCGCTCTATCAATTGTCTTTATGAAGATGTTCTTCATCAGATTTATCTTCTTTCTCCCCCTCCCCAACCTAAACTCTTTAGTTCCATTTCAATTAAAATAAATAAATATATTTCAGATATTTTGGGGTGGAAATGCACATTTATGCTGTAGCTTTAAGCTGTAAAAGCAGCTCAAAATCTCATTAATGCCAATGCCAAATACATCATATGCACAATTTAAGCATCTTAGATTGAAAAGTTTTGCTTAAAGTACTGCAACATATCCTAAGTCATGGCTGCATGATGCTTGGTAGGAATACCCTAGGCCTACATTCTACATTTGCTAAATCTCATCATCTCCCCACAGAATTTGAAGCTCGAGACCCATTCAGAAAAATCACCCAACACAATGCCAGGTAACTCTGCAACTTTTCCTAGCTGGAATTTCTGGTTTAAATAGTTCTACAGTTTATTGAAAATAAACTAAATAAAAAAGTAATCTCCTTTCCCCATCTTTGCGAACGTTTTCCACATTTCTGTTCTGCTGTACGTTTGCATTACTGCCAGCCATGTGAATAATTTCATCTAATGTGGTTTCTTTTTTTCTACCATGGTACTGCAGACAGCTCCTTTCTTTGCCTGAAATATTTTTTCTGCTTTATATTACATTTATTGTTGCAGAAGGGTGCCAACTTGACAATCATGAGGAACTGAAGTCTGCTTTGTAGCTAGAAAACTGGCATAGCATAGGCAGGAACAGCAGTGAAGTTTGTTCTCACAACCCAACGCCACCAATATGACAACAACCTACCATCACTCCAGGAGACCAGGTAAACAGATTTAAGAGGTATGTATTTATTTGTATTCCTGCAATCCACAGCAAGAAAA